AAATTTTGATTAAAGTGTTATTTCTTTGTCCATCTATAATTGTACATATCTAATATTATAAAGAAAAATAAATGCAGAAACTGAATAGTTAAAAGAAAATAATAAAAAAAAATAAAAGAAAAAAAGTCCATTGGACCGACGTGTGATTTAATGGAAGTCAGTGTTCTTAGTAGACAGAGGATTAATGCAGTTAATATTCTCGTCACTAATGTAGAAGCTGCAGCAAAATTAAGCGATATACTATGCAGACAACTGCACTGATATTATCGGCTGAATGAGTGTAAGAGTGAATGCATTGGTAACAATGTTTTTGTGCAGCAATCAGGAGGATGGAGAGAGGAAAGAAAAAGAAATGGTGACACTTTTGTCAAGATAAAAAGGTCAAAGCAAATCCAAATGTCTGAGCAGGGAAAAAAAAATCAATGATAAATTCAGACAATCATCTATATACATATGATTACTGACATACATGCAGGGCAATTTTTCCAACAAGCGGAGGATTTTGGCTCTCCCTGTTGCATTTAATATGTTCTGTTAGTGTTAATTTCTCCAAGCCCTTCATTCTCTTTATGTAACCCAGAAATTTCAACTGATTCTCAGTATAAATGTCCATTGCTGCAATCCAGTTTTTCTTAAAAAAAAAAAATACACAAATATATATATATATATATATATATGTGTATATATATGTGTGTGTGTGTGTGTGTGTATGTGTGTTAATAGGATATAGAATTTTTAAAAGTGGAGAAGTTTGTTTTTTTTTTGTAATGATAACATGTTTCAACTTTGTATTTTAGGTAGACATCTTCAGGTCAGAATGAAAGACAAAATAATGCTCTTTATATTAAAACCATTAATTTCCATTTGTATTTGTTAGTGCCTCATGTTTGGAATGAAAGAATAAAACTGTGTGTATATATATATATATATATAAACGAAAATTACTTCAACATTGGTATAGTCTATTTCAAATTGTTCTTCACACAGCTATCGTCAGCCTATAAGTGCTTGTCTCAGAGCATTGTTCTAAATTTATTTTCAAAGTCCTCCTCTAGTAGGCACCTTGTTAATGAGAGAGGGTTGGTGTTAGCAATTGATGAGGTATCTTTTCCTGGTGGAAGCGGTCTGGGTTTGGAGTTTATTTATGGCCAGGATTTTTGTTTGGAGTTTAGTAACAGTTCCTACTATGAGGTGTTTTTTTTTTTTTTTTTTTTAAAAAGGCCCTAGAGTGTGTTTTTCTTAGATTCACAGTAAATAGTTTTTGTACTACTAAGCGATGGGAGATTTAAACTTAAGTCTGTTAAGATTAATGTAAATTAGTTGAATTATAGATTTATAGATTGTGGGTAATCTGGTATCACCCAGTGGAATAAATCATGCTGTCCAACACACTTATATGCATACATATCTTCATACATACATATACGAGTACATTTACATGTTCAAACGTATATGCCACTATACATACACATACACCCCCACATATATATACATCTGTATTTTTATGTAATTTAGAATTTATTTATCTACCTATGTTTTGTAATTAGTTCTCACCATTGAGTTTTGGCACTGGTCTTTATATTTTATTGTCCAGATTTTTTCTTCTAAACATAGCTTGCACCTATCCCAAAAACTATTGGGGGTGTTTGCAAAACCTAGAATTTTTTCAGTCTATTTGAGGATTCTTTCAATACCCAAAATATTTTTGAAAGGGCTGTTTTTAATTTTGGATTGGTGAGTGAGTGTCTATGTGTATTGATTCTCTTTTTAAATTCTCCTGCAGAAATGCCGATGTAAATATTATGATTTGTCATATTTTCTTCAGGGGTAATGGTTGCCTGGTAACCTACCCTAGTTGATCTTCATTTGCCGTCTACTGGGCAGTTTTCCTTAATTCTACAATTACAGGGGGTTTCCATGTTAGAGTTAGTTCCCCCCCTATAGAATTTACTTAAAATGTAATTGCTCTGGAAGTTAATAATTTGGTATATATTATCAGTGCAGGGGTAGCTTATTTTGACTGATTTCCTGTTGAATATCTTATTTAGAGATTTTTTTTTTTTTGAAGTGTTTAGTAATTAAGTTTAGGAAGTACTGTCCGATACTTGACAATTTGCAGAAATGGGGGGTTGAACCGAGTGATTTTTGTTTCCCTATTTTTATACCTACATTCCACTTTTCGTGTATCGGTGTTACTAATGGTGGTTGCGTCAGACAGTTTACTTTTGAAACCCCTTTTTTTTTGGAGGGCCTTTTCGTATAGTTCTTTATTCTTATTAAAAGATTTATTCATTAGATGATAGCTTACTAATCCTGGTGCAAACAGTAATAGGTATTTGCACTGGGGTGGTTAAAACCAATATTAATATAGTTGGAGGTTTTGCTCTCTTTATGATAAGGTTTAAAGGTTTTATCATTAAAGTTAAGAGTAATATTGAGGTAGCCAACTATTTTAAGGTTAGAGGAAATCTTGATCTCAAACCCTAGGAATTTGAAGGCCCTCATAATTTTCTTCTGTAATTTCACTGTTAATGGACCATTACTATTAGAGATGAGGATGAGGATGAGTCTGTCATCCCTATAACAGCCCTGTTAGTTCCAGTTTTACGATTCTACTAAGCACATCTAAAATATAAAAACATACTAGGTCTGCAACTTGGGCTGAGTCATACGCTCACATGGTGGATATCTAATTCGTCATTGTGGCACTTAGTCCAGCTGGAATTATTCAGTGTTAGTAGTCGCTTTCTTACTGTTAAGATGATATTAGTTTCATCATCTACTATTTCTATATAGTTCTTTGCAAAGTTGATACTATTGTCCATGAGGTACCTCATGATAGACGAATAAAAGTCAATTATATCAAACTTAATTAAAGTCACTTTATCCTTATTCCTCATGTTAGTGAACAATTTAATAATTCAAAGGTTAGTACTGGTTGTGATTAGTAAATTGTCGGTTATTTTTTTTAATTATATTTTGTGAGATAAGGTTTTGTTTGGCTTTCATTATTAGTTTGTTCTAACTGATTTGTTTTTTTCGTTCTTCAATTTTCTCAAAAACTATGTGCCATGTCCTTTTGTTATGATGGAACACACTTATTCTATAGTTAATAGACTCTCCCACCAATAATAAGTAGGAGTAGTAAGAGTAACAAGTCGGTCAGTCAGTCGATGTCAGACGACAGTCGAATACGAAAGTATCAGCGACCACGACCAGATTGCTCTGCGTAACACCAAGTTCCTAACGTTTTGTACGTCGAACCTATTTTAGGACTGACTCAGTACAAATACAATCCTCCACTGTGAAATAACTCCACAACACCTTTCATGACATGGGTGATCATGGCTCTCCACAAATTCCTATCATTTGAAGCTCTTAATTATTTCTTGCAGTTTCTGTTCTGCCATCTATTTACACAAGCCCATCGGACATTTTTATTCTCTGATTCTCTGTCTTTTCATTCAATATGTTCTTTGACAGTCAAATTCGCCAAGCCTTCTTTCCTCATTACATGTCAGACATTTCAACTCTTTTTTGCAGCCTTATTTGTTTCCATTTTCCTTAAAATGTGAGTAATGAGGAAGTTTTAAGTCCATGGTATTCTCAGCATCCTTGTGTAGAACCACATTGCTGTTGCTTCAAGTCTCTGTGAGGAGATTGTCCAGAATTCACTACCAGAGAGGAGGACTGATATTACATCACAATTTTACCCATTCAAGAAATACTTTTAGCTTTCAGAAGGCAAGTTTTGCTATTCCAGCGAATGTTTTAATTTTGACACCACATTTTCCATTCTCTATTAAAACTTCCCCAGATATTAAAATTTCCATACTTGCTTGATTCTGGGGTTTCCAGTTTGTAGTTCACTTCTTCGGCTGTTCCCCCTTTGCTGACAACCATTACATTCTGTCTTCTTACAACTGATAGTCCTTTCTTCCTGCTTTCCTTTACCACCTTCTGTAGAAGTTCCTGTAGTTTCCTTTCTCAACACTGTGTCATCTGCCTATTTTATGTTAACATAGTGTCAGCCAATAATACATCCTGGTAGTACTTCTAGTTCTCTCAGGACCACCTTGCTGTAAGGTCCTGGGTATGATGATAAACTACATATGGCAGCAAGAGATCAGGAGATTGGAGGTTTTAGGAAGCATGAAACAACATCTTTAATTGCTGTTGTTCCCAGGTCCAACCTAACATAAGGTGGTAGCACCTGTTAGGGTCCCAGCTATGGGTAAATAATGAATCCCCAAACAAAACATTATGAAACTATAAAAATGTATTTTTTTAGTAAAATAATCAACAATACATTTTTATAGCAAAATGACCATAAATACATTTTTTCTGTAGTTGAAGGCATACAATTGTATTCAAAATATATTTAATTGAAGCCATAAAATTTAGATTTCAGCATTAAGTAACCCATAGAGGTTGAATGCCACTAAGCAAAATCAACCAACTCTTTCATGACATCAAGCTATATAACATCCTACAATTTCTTAAAGAAATGAAACTGTATTTTTCAAAATATAACTTCCAAAAAACTACAACATAAAATACACATATCACTGCCTCTAATAATTATGTCCACACAAACATGTATATGCACAAAAGCTGCGTATCATCTACCATGTATTCAATTGTGAAAGCAGAATAACATTTTTATTATTTCAAAACTCTCAAGAAAATTAAATTTCTGCATTAAATGACCCATAAAGAGATGATATGCCATTAAACAAACAAACCAATCACTCAACATCACTGTAAAAGTTGAATAAGCCTGGTGAGAAGACACAACCTAGTCAAATGCTCCTTTCCATTTTTATATATTTACCAAATTCTTTTTCTATCTGTATGCAGACAACAGTACTTTAATATTTTTTGTGTCAGCATAGGTCACGAGGTCATAATAACAAACTTAAGTTGGTCAGATACAATCAAACGGACTTTTTATGCATAAATACTGAGGTAAATCATTAAAGATAAAACCAATATCTTACCTGACTAAGTCAATGCCAAGCAACTTGGGTTGAGAGTTATCTGCCCCTTCCGAACACATCTTGGTCCATACTGCTGTACAACCCACACAGACACTATGTTCGTTGGAGCCCATTTCAGCTCCCCAAACCCATGTTGGTTTGCTGAGGATAACACTGTACGTATGTTCAACCTGATCCACTTCAAGCCACGTACACTAAAATAAATAAAAGTAACTTCATCTGACAAATATGGAATTGAAAAAAAAATGAAAATATTTTCAAGTAAATTTTTTTTAATTAATTTCTTAAAATTATAAAATGATTATAAAATACTTCATACTGTTATACATAACTACTAAAGTAATGATGACTCTCCACTGCTTCCTTTTTAATATTGACAAATTGCCATGACTTCTTGAAAAAGGTGGTGGCATGCTCTCTTGTTTCTTTTTAGTTATTTACTCAGCATACCTTAGATTTGGCACAAGGCCAAAAATATGGAGCACCCAGTGAGGATCAAACTCACTACTCGGTCATAATTAACCTACTAAAACAAGCTTGTTAACAATTACACCATACCAAAGTGCTCTAATGATTTACTAAGTGTAGCTTAGATGTGGCACAAGGTCAAAAGTATGGAGCTCTCAATGAAGATTGAACTTAGTAATAATTGATCTAATAAGACAAGCTTGTTAACCATTATACCACATCAAAGAGGCTATCTCTTGTTACTGTGGTTTTGAATTCAGAGTTGTTCTTCCCCTAGACTGGCTATTACACATGGCTAGGGGGTCAAGTTTACTCTAATATTTAACCCATAGCTAGTGGGCAAAAAACTGAATTCATACTTTTCCAAAGGTCACTGGCGTAAAGGGACTAGAACAGAACTTGAATTCAGATCATTAGTTCTATATTCTACACTGATAACCATCACCGTTTTGTTTTGTTTTTTCAATGCCATGTTCCCTTCAGGATGAAAATGATCATGGCTCTCCACAGATTTGTTATCTGTGAATTACTAGGACATCTTGAAAAAGATAGTTGAGTAATTCCCTGTTGCCTACTCTCATGTGAAATTCAGAGTTTTTATAGCAAAATGACCAACAATACTTTTTATTTGTCATTGATGTCATACAATTGCATTCAAATTATACATTTAGTTGTAGCCATAAAACCAGAGCTGTGGAGTCAGAACACAACTCTGACATTTTTGGCACCTCAAACTGACTCCTCTTTATGTAATTAAGTGATTATGGCCTAGAAATTTCATAAAGCCTATGCATATGCTTCTAACTTGAGTAGGCCTATATAATTATAACTGGTTTATATCAAAGAATAAAGATATTGTGGCCTTTATATCATACTTATTCATTCTTCAATATTAAGTGATTATGGCCTGCAAATCTCAAAGCCTATGCATATGCACCTACCTTGAGTAGGCCTATATCATAACTGGTTTATATCAAAGAATAAAGATATTGTAGCTTTTATATCATACCTATTTATTCTTCAATATTTTCCAACAGAATTAGAGACAAAATCTTTGAAAGGATATAGAAGAAATAACAATGAAAATAAAAAAGCTATAATGTAAGGCTTTTTACAAATAAAATATATTTTTTTTTACATATATAGTTTTGCAAAAAAGTAGTAAAAAATAAAATGACTTTAAAAAAGAAGTTGAGATAAATTTCTTTAAAGAAAATAGTAAATATACAATAGAAGAAATAACAATAAAAAATTCTATGATACAAGACTTTTTTTACATAAAGTTTAAATTCAACTAGAGTCAGAGTTAGTATACTTTTACAGACTCCAGTGATCCATTAATTGCTTCCAACACCATAGCTCTGCATGAAACTACTCAAATTATTTAGATCTTGGCATTAAATAACCCTAGAGGTGTTGATATGCCACAAAAAAAAAAAAAAACACACAACAAAAACCAAATTTTACTGAATATTTTTTTCTTTTACCTTTCCATTACACAGCATCCATAGACGAAAAAAGGTTTAACTTAAACTTTTACCTTTATAACCGTGCCACTATTAACAGGGCAAAGGTTTGTATAAACTTATTAATGAAAGGCCATTTTTCTCATTTGTACTTCTATCTACTAGCTTTACTGGAAACAAACTAACTTTTGTAAAGGATTTTTTTTTTTTTTTTTTTTTTTTTTTTTTTTTAAAAAAAAAAAAAAAAAAAATCGGACTTTATTATTATTATTATAAGCATCATTTATAGCGGATACACATGTCTAAGTTGCTATCCCTGTTTCTTATTAAACAGTGAAATTAATAACAACTTACCTATGCTTAGAATATTGCTGCTACATATGATCTAGTGCTATTTACCTAGAGATTCTTGATAAAATCCAAAAGAGAATCAGCAATATTACTGATCCTGACCTGGCATCTTGGCTTCAGTTACTTGCCCACTGCTGCAAGGTTGCCTCTCTATGGCTGTTTTCTATAAATACTTTCATGAGAATTATTCAGATGAGCATTTTGCTATGATATTATGGTGGATGAAGTAAGAATGCGTTGTTTTGGTGTTAGGAATATTGCTGTATGTTTGGGTCAGGGTTAGTGGTTAGCTAAGTTTAATGTTAAGAGAGAAGAAGACTGTCCTTTTCCCCCATTTTTAGCCTTGGGCCACATTTTGTATTTCTACAAATAAATAATGCTCTTCACTATGTGTAGTGAAAGAGATAATCATTTACCCCCAAAAAAGTTTGTGTTCTGTGTACGATCTGCCAAAGAAAAATTATAAAAAGTAGTTTGCAAAAATCTACTTCAATGACTAGAATGGCGTGAACAATCAGAAAGATCTCTCGATGAACCAAAGCCATTGTTTTTTGCTTATAAAGGAGTAGATTTTCTGAGCTGGTGAGCGGAACATGCATTTTTGCTTGTGAGAAGTGAAGGTTGGACGTGTGACCCCATTTTGTTGTTTCTACTTTGCCTGTTGGACTGTTACGATGGACTATCATTTGAACTGCGATTTGGCTACAAGTGTTGCGGTCGAGAAACAGAAGAAATCTATTGCAGTTGCTACTATAAGTTGACAGTTTTTTTTTTTTTTTCCTTTTCTTTACTACAAACACTATGATACCTAGATTTTATGAATTTAAGTGCAGTACTAAATTGGTAACTATGTCCCAATTTACAGTTGAACTGTCTCGGTACAATAATGGCATCACAAGACAGGTAATCTTTAGAAGCATATTCTGCTTATTTTCTTTTTAAGTTTTTAATTTGAAAAAAAAAAAAAAAAATGTATAAATCATGAATTAAAGAAAGATGTCACTGAATAGTCGGTAAGTTCAAAAGATCATTTCCATCAACTATTTTTTCTACACAGCAACCATTATCTATGTTTTTCTTATACTTTTTCCTTCCCTGTTGACTACTGTTTATTGTCATGGCAGGAGGTGTGTTCCGAATTCCACTAGGCACATTTTTTTTTTGTTTTTTTTTTTACCTAGACCATCAGCTATTGATATACAAGATTATTTTTGGATAATATAACAAGCGGTTTGCTCTTATAATTCTAAGAATCAGTTCAGGAAAATTGGTAGCATGCTACCACTGGCTAAATGTAACCGTTAAGTTCTATGTCAACAGTTTCTTTGCTTGCACTTCTCACTTGTCAAACCTCTTCCAGCTTTCTGGCCAACTTTCTTCTTCAAAAATTTAAATGCAATGTCAATTCTTATCTGCTGTCTTCCTGATTACTCTTCTATTGTTTTCGCCTCTTCATGTTTTCCATTTCATAATTCTTATACACACCTTGTATGTTAGTGGATTTACTGCCTTGCTTGGGGTAAATTTGAAGAAATTTTTTAAAAGTCCGACTCAAGAAAAACTGTGCCTCGAACAGGAATCAAACCTGCATATCATTTGTTTCTGGTATGAATCTAGCAGATATTGAGTCATGGAAGTCCTGAGATAAATGGATTTAGACTACTGTGGATAAAATATTTTTTTAAACATACATTACCTGCTGTTGACACATATACATACTGTCAAGACACTGTGAAATGTTGAGCCCTAGTTGCTTGCATTATAAACTATTTCTTAATGCTATTTCCAAACGATATACACATATAGTGTGCTGGCATTCCCCGAGGCTCTCTCCTCAGTCCTACCATCTTACAAAGTTCCCACCTTTTTACTATTGTTCACTCAAAGGTCATGAGCCACTCAAGGTAAATGGTTACTGATTGATGTTTTTCTTACACATAAAGAGAGTTAAGTGCAGTTTAAGAGGATATGTAGAAAAGATAATGGTTAACCCAAGGCTTAAAGAGATTAAGATTGTAGTGATTGGAGAAGCATCCTCTCGGGAGTCTCTTTCACAAAGTAGTAGTTCTTGCAAAGAAGATTGTCCCAAATTTTCTTTTAACTAGCAGAAGACAAAGAGAATGGGGATGATTACCCAGCTATGGGTAAATAGCAGGACAGATTGGGTTTTAGAGCCTTGAGCAGCAACCAGTTGAAGAGAAAGCAAACTGAATAAAACTGTAACTCTGGCAAAGCACATACTACACAGCTAAGGAAAGGATCATTCTTATTGATGCAATGATCCTGACTACAGATGATCCCTTGTTGCAGTGAACATGGCTTGGAGAGTCTTAACTGTGAAAGTCTGGGATGGTGAGACTAAGATATGTAGCTTGTCGGAAAATTTGCCATGGAAATAATGATAGCATAATGTGAAGCTTGCAAAGTTTCATCAATGGGATAGAAAAAGAATTCATCACCAACAAGACAGCGAACATCCTGGGTATGACAATAAAATACATCTGGCAGAAAGATATCCAATTCAGAGGTTTTGTGGAGCATGGAACCATCTCTTCCTTGGTGTTGTTCCCAGGTCAACCCTGACCCAAGGTGGTAGCATGTTCTTGGACAAATTTTTCTGCCAGTTCAAAAAGAATTTGGATTACTACCACACACAAAAGATAATGGTAAAAAAAAAAAAAAAAACATAAGAAAAAATGAATTCCATTAAATAATGTGGAAATAATCATTTTTTGCCTGATGAAGGTCACAAGAACTGAAACGTGTGTAGCAAAAAAAAAATACAGAAAATAAATTATAATATATATAAAAAATAAATAAATAAACAT